ACCCAAACCAGGGAAACCTGCATCCTGTATAAAATGGTGTTTGCTACATTCACAGAGTTGTACAAAGATACGCCAAATAAGTTTTATCTCCGTCCCAGCAATTTGTGCAGTCATTTGTTGTTTTTTCAGATCGCTTGTAGCACCCCTCTCTACACCCTCAGATTTTCAAATGTCTGCTTGCAGGGGGATGTGTCAGTTCCGAACAGATGACAAAAAAATATATATATATATATAACTTTCCAAACGTTGAAAGGTCTTCTACACTCATTACATGTCTGTGAACACTCAACACAGAAATTCATCCCTTTATATGAATTCAGTTTACACCAATAGATTGAATGGCTGCAGAAAATGTCAATTATGAAATTGGTACATTTTTTAATTATCGTTGGCTGCTCTGTTCACAGCTGCTCCTGAGTTGACTGTAAAAAAAATTTTTTCTTAAATTTCAATTGGAGCTGAAACAGCATGACCTATTTTGTCTGGAAAGAACGTATACTTTATCTGCACCTCCTAAGAAGGTGGCCTTGAGCTTAATTTGCAGTGCTGCGATGGTTCCTCTCAGAGTGTAATGGATTTCAGTTTACTCATAACCTGTTCAACATTGTGAGCAGCAAATTCATCAGCTGGATTACATAAAGCCACTAACATGTGATTCCTCTCACAGACTTAACACATTCTTAAATTAAACATGCAACTGCCAGAAAAATGACAAAGCAGCTTTTCCGCAAATATTATTTCTGTCCAGAAAAACCACTTTGGTTTTGAGTACGCTACCCATTTCGCCCTTACTTCTCATCTTCATAATCAGAGCTATTCTCTGTATTATTGTGAATGTAACTCTAAGGTATGCTCAGTCTTATGAATGAAATCGATCTTTGACTTTCAAAAAGCGAGACCAAATGAGCCTCCACACTGGAATCAAATGAACCCTTCCACTTTATATAGATGGCTCGAAATACAGTCTGTGTGTTAAAGCAACTTTAAGTGTTTAACCCCTGTTTCTGATTATAGACATAACATACTGAAGCCCCTTCTCCTCAAAACATCCACTAATACATATGCAAACACACTAAGTCACTGAAGGATAGTATGACTGATCCAGCAATCCTTTCATTGTTCTGGTGGAACAGAGTCGCCTAAGCTGCTGTAATCACTCATTTAATGTCGTAGCAACAAATGCTTTTTTTAGATATTGCAGTCCTATAAAAAATTCAATTCCTCATGAACCCTAACTAATGCAGTGGTCCATTTGCTGTTGTTGTGGTTATTATTACTATTATTTTTATTAAGCCGGTTGCCTTTCAAAGTCTCTCTGTCCATTTTAAATAACGCTATTGTGATTTAGGGAAACAAAAAGACAGGGCGTCAGATTATGAGCTGACTAGTTAAAGCTGCGGCTCCATTGACGCTAAAGAGCATTTTGTATTGTAAAGTCCATCACCATTTAATCTGTGGATAAATATGTCTGTGAGTCATTATGTCTTTCTTCAGTTTGTGCTGATTGTGCAGAAAGCGATAAGCTATTGTAAAAAAGAGCGAGAGCTGCCATTGATTTAGGCAATATTCTTTTGCGTTCACAGGAAGTACAACCTGAGAGATGACGGCAGGTTTGGTGACAGATTAGCTTTGTTTAGCAGTTGCCTTTCACGTGGCTGTCTCTACAGCGCTTTACTTTCCCCCTTCTGCTTATCGCTTTCGGCTTAGTGGTTTGTGTTCTTCATGCAGTGGTTCTCAGTGTCATTGTCTTTGCAGGCTACTTTTGAACTGTGGGGAAAAAAAACCAAGAGTACTGGCCAAATCTTTTTTCTATTATATTATATTCTATTATATTAAAAACAACTTGGATTTTTCAATATGGCAATTAGTTTTGTCCAAACAGAACCACAGGTCAAAACAAAAATCTGAAAAAAGTGTTTCCATAAGTTTTTGTTGAGATAAAAGGTCTTGTTTACATCTGTCAGCTGTCTGTATTTTGATGCAGACACCAAGAGAGTAATTATATTAAGTTAATGTATAACTTTAAAGAAACATTGCATCGCTATTGTGTCAAGCAAAGTCCTGTGGTGTTCTGCCATGGTTTCTCCTGCAGATCTGCACTAAGCGATGATTTGTAAATGGTTCCAGCTTCCTGTTCCACTTCAAACAAATGTGTAGATCACATGCCCTGAGAACAGTTGTCTCTCCTGGTCACGCTCTATCACTGCAGTAGAAGCTGGAGAGACAGAGCCTGAGGTTTGGGTCTTAGCGGGACACAGAGCTGTCAGGGCATCAGGTGAGAACACGTACCAAGCCCCCTCCACCCACTACCACCCCTCCACTCCTCTCTTAATCAGTTCTGACACAATGCCAATTCCACAGCGGGTGGCAGGCGCAGTTTCATTCATAGCTGTGGCAGTAAGACAGTGATCACCTCCCAGGATCTGCCTTGTCTGCTTGCCTTTCACCGTCATGCTGCATCAGGTAGCACGAAGCAGTGGACACTTAGATGTTAATGTTGTTTTTGTGAAGTGGTTTGACACTTAACAGTGCTCCACAATTGTTTGTCAGTCAAGTGGTATTGGGCCATCAGGTTCTCTTTTGGGAGTATTACAAATGATAGGCTTTCTACCACTACAAAACTCACAGCAGATGACCTGAAACTACTGTACAAGCCTCAACACACTGGGAAAATAGGTGCAGCTGTTAACTCAGTTATCGCTGAATTTAAGCACTGACTTCACTGAAACTGCGGCTGAGTGTCCTGAGGGCATAGACAAACAGTTTACTGAATTGAGCCAGACGTAACTGAAAAACCATGTCTGGAGCACATATGGCTGCTTTATGGTTTCTATTGTTACCTCTGAAAAGCTGAACAAGAACTGCGAAGCAATCATAAAGCATGCAGGGAAGCAATTTCTTTCTCTTATTCAAGTGAAAAATTATTCCGTGCTGTCACAAAAGATGCCCTAACAAGGTGCTTTAAACTCTCTGGCAGTGCGTTGCTGCAGGGTGTCAAAGAGTGGATAACGTACTGTACTCTATAAATGAAGCTTAAACTCAAAAGTCTGTTTCTGGTAATAGCAGCATTTTGTTCCCTCTCCAATATGCGTTTGATGTGGAGCTAGGATTAACAGTATTAAAACGTCCTCTTCACCGTTTCAAGCCAACAAAGTGCACACTGTATAATGAGCAGATTGTTGACAACAGGTCTTTCTTTGAGATAAACTACCAGTCAAAGGTTTGACAACACTCTCCCATTCAGTGTGTCCAGACTTTTAACTGGTAGTGCATGTGAACAATGAATGACTTGTTACCTTTTTTGGTGCATATTGTTGTGCTAGAATTCAACCCTCTGCACATTTACCTCCATCGACCCATATGTACTGTATAAAACGTTGTGTAGTTTGTGATGACAGAGGAATATTCAGTCACTGAAGAATATTCCTTTCATCTCTTTCTAGTCCTCCATGATGTGATCCTAGCTGTTTAAGGTTGAGTGGCTGTGGAGTCTCAAGGATTCCAAGGGCTCAGGCCCAGCTGCTCTCTAGAGAGTGCTCCTGCATGGCAGGAAGATTTGCACGTCGAACATGTCGATCCCTCAGAGTTAATGAGGCCCACTGTTTGGGCTTCCATTATCAGCTTGCTGCATCCTGAGCCGAGCTGAGCAGAAGTCATGCATCATAAACTTTAGATGTTCCTTGATACATTGTGGACAGTAAGCAGAGCTCAGCATTTCTCACTAGCTGTGGAAATAAACTGTGTAGATGATGGCATGTTCTCTCCAGACTGTATTGTTGAATTTGCACCAGCTTTATTTAAACTTATATTCTTGAAATCTTTACTGACACAAAGTCGAATTAATGAAAATTATGTGCATGCAGATGTAGTCATCAATAACATCAGAAGAGTTGTGTGACAAAACCTGTAATTACTCTTTCATTCTGAGTACAAAAACATTTTTTTCACTCAATCTGCTATTGACAGGTAACATTCATGCAGCTCCCAGATGTCACAATTAGGAACACCTCTAAGGTCAGTTCAGATCTCAGCCTGTGTCACAGTATTGAAAATCAAATCTACTGTAAAGATTCAGTCTGCCCCAGATCTAGGGAAGGTCATCCAAGTGTCACCGATTTGTGAAAAAGCCTGACCACGCAGCACGAAAACAGTCAACTTCAGGCGCCCAGAGCATCCACAAAGGACACACACATACCTGCGACAGGATTGCGCCATGAGCTGGGGCACAGGGAGGGGGGAGACGGAGCTATATTGTTTGGCTCTGCGGATGATTGGCAGAAAATGTCAGGCACAACACGTCAGCTCCACACAGACACGCAGCAGGCAGATGTCAGAGAATGCGTGATAAGAGGGAGGGCAGGCTCACAAGGAAAGGAAGGAACTAGCATCTTCACAGAGTTATGTCATCCTTCTAAAATCTCTCAAAGATTAGGCCCCGACAAAGCTCACACACTCTTTTGTGCTCAAAGTGTGACTACATAACTATCTCCTGACCTAGCCACACAAATATACAAAAATTTTAAAAGTAGCTTTCTTCTAGTGTTTGCCTCCTCTTTCTGTTATCATCATTTTCCAAACACAAGGATTAGTCAGGGTCACAGTTTTTTCCACATACTTGTATTGCACAAAAGGATATGCACAACCTTCTGGGCTGTACACCTCTGGGGCCTGAGCCAGGGTCAGGTATCTCAGAGGAGAAGGGCAGACTGAAGACCGTCTACTGCATGATAATTGCAGTGAATACAGTATGTTTTGTTTGACCTTGACAGTGCTTCAGCCTGATTTATTGAAGTCAGGTTTTGTGAATCTTGTTGTTGAACTGGGATGTACAGTACATTGTTAAGCAATAGGGTCTTTTACTTTTTCTTTTTATATGAATCAGCATTTGTATCACAGGTGACTTTCATCATTGAGCTGGAAATGAATTCAAGGAGGTGCTAAATGTTCATTACCTTGGTCAACTTTGTGAATCACAACCATTTTACTTCTCTGGTTCTCAGGGTGGGGCTCCCATGGCACACCCTGAAGATGAGCTGGAGCGCCTGACCAAGAAGATGCTGTTTGACATGGACCACCCTCCATCTCAGGAATATTTTGGTAAAAAAATTTTCTCACTCACTCTTGGCTAGCAATCTTTTTTATTCACAGAAGGCATTTTGACATTTCACAATGAGAAAACCACAGTAAATAATCCTGCTTTCTTACCCGGACATTTGAACAAAGCCATGGCTAGCGGTCTTTGTAACACCTTTTCTTTTCCAAACCCTGTGACATTGTAGACTTGCTGCTCTGGAAAAGGCCCTGTTTTTAAGATTATCCGATTAAGATTTACTGTATGTGGGAAGTTATTGGGACACACAGCTAATTTTTCACATTTGGCGTATTGCTAGTATTAATCTACTAACCAGGCACAGATGGATTCTCTTTGCTTCTTGATATATGCTGGCTGTGAAAGGTGGGTAGTCTCTAACAATATTTATTTTATTGTACATTGATTCTCTTTTTTACTCAAGGAACAGTTGGAATTAAAAAGAAATTACTGTTACATTTGGCTCCTGTTCACCAACCACATACTGCCATTAAGAGCTTTGGCATTTAGTTAGTAATAAGTACAATCAAATACACTGAAGCAAAATGGGATTTTTAATTTGCCTCATCCTGCAAATCTACAGGAGATACTGAATCTTTTCAGCATTGCAGCATTTTTCCTATCACGTCCGTATTACAACAGAAATCTGGCCAGCATGGCAGAAGAAAGTTCGTTTCAGTTCACACATAGTCACATACGACATTACAGTGTGGACAGTTTGTGTTTCAGTTCACACATAGTCACATAAAAACCCCACATGCATACGACATTACAGTGTGGACAGTTTGGAAAGCCAAACACTTTGTGTGTACTGGACTGTGTAGCAGGTCAAGAGGACCAAATGATAATCATCCTACAGGATATAATGTTCATCTATACAGGGGAGGATCTAGAAAACTTTGGACTGGGTGGCCCGGCTGGGTCACAGACTCGGAGAAGGGTGGCACATTTGAAATACATGGAAAAAGTAAATTAAAGCCCTAGGTCTATGAATGAATGAGCCATACATTATTAAGAATTTAATTGTTTTGTGTACAACCCCAAATCAGAAAAAGTCGGGACGGTAAGTAAAATCTAAATTAAAACTGATAATAGTGATGTGTAAACCATCTGTGTCCTGTATTAATTACATTGAAAACAACACAGCAGCACATTATTTGATGCGACACCTCATCAGTTTTATTCTTTGCTCACACTAAACACTCACTTCAATTCTGATGCTGCAACACATTCCAAAAAAAGTTGGGACAGTAAAGCATTTACCAAGGTGTGATGTTCCTGTTCCTTTTCACAACACTTAAAAGACATTTAGGGACTGAGGACAACAAGTGATGAAATGTGTCAGGTGTCATTTTGTCCCATTCTTCCTGCAAACAAGTCTTAAGGTGCACAACAGTCCTGGGTCTTCAATGATGCAGTTTAAGTTTCAAAATGTGCCACACATTCTCTATTGGGGACGGTTTGGGACAGCAGGCAGGGCGGTCCTCGGCCCATCTTTGCTCCTAAAGGGCTCAGCCTTTCTTCAATGCCACATTTGTACCAAATCATGATGCAGTCACTTGCTGACATCACCGGTTTCACATGGACTCATCATTTCATTGGTTTACTGGCCCTGAAATGCAGCCATCCCAACTTTGTTTGGAATGTGTTGCAGACATCAGGATTGAAGTGTTTATTTAGAGCAAAGACTAAAATTGACGAGTTATCACATCGGATAATGTGCTGCTGTATTGTTTTCTATGTAACACAGGACACAGATGATTTACATGTCACTATTTTCAGTTTAAATTTTGATTTTACATACTTTTTCTGATTTGGGGTTATGCATGAGACACACATTGTGCTTTCTTTAGCTAACCTTTGCTGTGCTCCTTGTGTTTACTCTGGCCAGGGACAGCGCTGCTGCACAGTGGTTCCCCCTACCTTCAACTTAATCATGCCAATTACTCTACAACAGCACAGTTGGAGAAGTGAATGCAAATATCATGCTCTGTGCAGGATATAAAATAAAACTAATTTGACCAGCGGAGGAAAATGGATGGATGGATGGATAATTTGACCAGTATCAACTGTAAAGCATCAGAATCTCTGTTGTATTTAAGACAACAGTTTGTCACTGTGAGCTCTTGTGAAACTAAAAACAGAAACAGAAATCTGTTGTGATCCACTGGTTGTACCACAAAACCAGACAAAATCCACATTTATGGTGATACAGGCTGAATACCATGATGTGGGATAGTGGGTTAATAGAATAAAATTGGCATAAGGCTTCCTAGATTATCCCACCCAGTGACCCACAAAATTAGTTGCGTATCACTAGAACGGTGTTTTTAGAAACTGGCTTGAGGCGCTTGAGTACAGTGCAGGTGTGTATGATACATACACCAGGTATTTTTGGTCCTTCTTGTGTGTTGATCTCCACGGTGTAGACACAGCGGCATATCTACTAGTCTGGGAAGCAGCCGATTCTCAGAACTATATCAGTGTGATCAAAGAACAAGGTATGACTCGGGGTATAATGAGAGATGTAGTGAAACGCTTTGGACAGATGAAATGTGCTGATCACACTTGTGTTATTTTTATTTTTTACATTATTTCCTTTCTCTGAGACACTTGATGTTTAATTTTATTCTCATTTAAAAAAATAAAATACAACTGCCAGGATTAAACAGAATACCAATTTTAATAATGTTTAGCAAAATGGTATTCAAAAGACAAGGATTCTGTGCATTATACATTTCATTTCTGTTTTTCCACCCTCTGTACCCTGTGCTGCCAGCAAGTGCCATCCCTGCCGCTGCTCTCTCTTCTCTAGCCTTTAATCCCGTTCGCCCTAGAATTAGTTCCCATGCCCATTAGATACCTCGCTCGGTACATTCAGTGGGACTCTGGAGCAGGCTTTATATCAGCACATAATCACACGGTACGCCATGATAGTATGTGTAGGTGTATTATAGCTACAGGGACATGTATTTAACTGGTATTAAGACAGATATTCAGCTTCACATTGGTGTGCACTGATGTAAAGACCTTAATTGGTTCACATTAGACATAGGTCAAATAGATCTCTTGGCCTAAGCAAAGTGCAGTCATTTCACAGTGGAATGGCCCTCAAAGCCTGGTTGGCCTAATTTTTGGGTGAATGTGTAGGCAGTGCAGACGTGGCATGAACTCTGTGCACTGCTATACCATTCATGCAGTTGCCAGCCATAAGGATGACTGGCTGGAGGCCTATAAAATGGAGACATGGGAGTTTAGAAATGGGTCATATGATTTCAGGTAGGGAGAACAAGTTAGGGATAGCATGTGCATCCCCAGCTGCTAGTGGCTGGCTGTTACTGGAGTAGAGGGGAGGGTCATCCGGTGGTTAAACAAGGCGACAGCTGAATTAACTGAGAGATAGAAAGAGGATGAGGGCGCGACTGAGGTGACTGCAGGGACTCATTAGTAGAGAGTTCAAGCGTAGGCACACGCTGCTACCCAAATCCACAGAGCCCCCTTCCTCCTCCGCTGAATAATGTACACATAGTCACGACAGTAATGTTAAAATTGACTTTAGTCTGACATGTTTCTTATTGTATATCCAGGGCTGTGGGAGAGTCAGTCCCAGAGCATGAGACTTTTGTAATTACAAAGAATCTGATGGCAAACAAGCCTCTTCTTTTTTGGAAGAGTACAGGGGGGAAAGAGGGCTAGCAGCTGCTGAAACCCTAAGGCTAGTAATTAACAAGATTAATCAAAGTGGGGCTGCGATCTCTAGCACACTACTGGACTGGATCATTGTCTTCCTATAGCAAAGTTTTATTGGTGTCATTAATATTTTTGAGAAGCTACTAATGTGAAACAACTACTGTATAGTGTATTTTCATGTACTATGGTAGTTTCAGGGGCTCCAGTGGGGGTTAATTGAATTGAATTAATGTTACACTCTGGCTCTGTGATGTCACATGGAAATGTTTCATTAGTCTCAATTGAGCTCCGTCTGTAACTTATAATTTGCAAAAAATTATTATGCTCTTTATAATAACTACAGTCCAGCAATTATACTGGAAAAGTCTTTGAAGACTTTCTATGGCAGAACAGGGACATAAAAAGCAGCCATACTCAAATACAAACACTCCTCAAGCTGGAAAAAAAACTAAAAATGACATGCTATAATAGAACGGCTTTTCTTCTGAGAAACCCAGTTTGCAAGCCAGAAAATGATTGAAGCTTCTTTGAAAAGCAACTGATTAGTCCTGATTTAGAGTTCCAGATTAGATTTGAGTAATCTGAAAGAGCCTTTTCTCCAAATGTCATCATCCGTCATATTTAATCCACTTAGGTTGTGCGTAGGTGTGCTGTGTTTGTGGAAATCTAATAAGACACAGCTACTCAGCTTGCAGTACAGATGCCGTGGCGTTTGTGCATCAGAGGAACTTACAATATTTTGTCACCACTACATTTCCATCAGCCAAAACCAGGACATAAAGCTGAATAATTGAAAGGATGAGATGCTTTTCATTATTTACAATTAGTGTTGATGATACTTATGCAGTGTAGTCAATTCTGCCACAGAGAATCTGTTTTTATTTCTCCTTTTAATACCAAAACGCCAAGCTGACAATGCCTTCGTGTGAATCCAGACTGTGCAGAATTAAGAAAGAAGTGAAATTTTAATATCCAATCAATATTTATACAGAGTAATCTTCTGGAGAGATTTTTGAATAGTGGCATAAATGTTTTTGTAATGTTGTTATCAGACTCTAGAGAGAGAGTCACTGGAAATGAGAGCACTCACAGAGCGCATGCACCTCCGCCAAGGCACAACGCTCGCTCACACAAATGGGTCTCTTGTGAAAAATGAGATCCAGAACAATACAAAATGCATGCTAAAATCCTTGCCCCAGATCCGATCTGGATCATCTTTTAGGGTATGATAGGCAGTTATACTGTGCATCTTACCTGAACATTTCAAGGTTTTATCTTCATTATCGGCCAAGTTATGACAGAAAAATGCGTTAAATGG